CGGTGGTTTTATTTTATAGAAATTAATGGACTCTCATGCTTCACTTATATTATTTTGAGATTCTTTAAACAGCATGGTAATTTGCTTTGGTTATAAATTTAGTCCTAATATGATAGGCATCCAAGAGGGATATAATAAAACCTTTCATATAAACTGCATTGAATACTATGAGAAGTTTGATTCCTTTATTGTTTTGAGATGCAAAGATGGTGATACTAGAGTCATGCTAGTGAGTAATCGTGAATTTGAGAAATACTTGTGTTAAGGTTTGTGAGTCCCGTAGCATGCATGTATGGTGAACCGTTATGTAACGAAGTTGGAGCATGAGATATTTTTTGATTGTCTTCCTTATGAGTGGCGGTCGGGGACGAGCGATGGTCTTTTCCTACCAGTCTATCCCCCTAGGAGCATGCGCGTGATACTTTGTTTCGATGACTAATAAATTTTTGCAATAAGTATGTGAGTTCTTTATGGCTAATGTTGAGTCCATGGATTATATGCACTCTCACCCTTCCACCATTGCTAGCCTCTCTAGTACCGCGCAACTTTTGCCGGTACCATACACCCACCATATACCTTCCTCAAAATATCCACCATACCTACCTATTATGGCATTTCCATAGCCATTCCAAGATATATTGCCATGCAACTTTCCAACGTTCCGTTTATTATGACACGCTTCATCATTGTCATACTGCTTTGCATGATCATGTAGTTGACATCATATTTGTGGCAAAGCCACCATCAATAATTCTTTCATACATGTCACTCTTGATTCATTGCACATCTCGGTACACCACCGGAGGCATTCATATAGAGTCATATCTTGTTCTTGTATCGAGTTGTAATTTTTGAGTTGTAAGTAATTAAAAGTGTGATGATCTACATTATTAGAGCATTGTCCCATGTGAGGAAATAAAAAAGAAAAAAAATAGAGAAAAGGCCAAATAAAAAAAGGAGAAGGCCCAAAAAAAGGAGAAGAAAAAAATTGAGAGAAAAAGAGAGAAGGGGCAATGTTACTATCCTTATTCCACACTTGTGCTTCAAAGTAGCACCACGATCTCCATGATAGAGAGTCTCCTATGATGTCACTTTCATATACTAGTGGGAATTTTTCATTATAGAACTTGGCTTGTATATTCCAACGATGGGCTTCCTCAAATTGCCCTAGGTCTTCATGAGCAAGCAAGTTGGATGCACAGCCACTTAGTTTTCTTTTTTAGCTTTCATAAACTTACATCTCTAGTGCATCTGTTGCATGGCAATCTCGACTCATTCACATTGATATCTATTGATGGGCATCTCCATAGCCTGTTGATACGCCTAGTTGATGTGAGACTATCTCCCTCATTTTGTCTTCTCCACAACCACCATATTATATTCCACCTATAGTTCTATGTCCATGGCTCACGCTCATGTATTGCATGAAAGTTGAAAAAGTTTGAGAACATCAAAAGTATGAAACAATTGCTTGGCTTGTCATCGGGGTTGTGCATGATTTGAATAGTTTGTGTGATGAAGATGGAGCATAGCCAGACTATATGGTTTTGTAGGGATAAGCTTTCTTTGGCCATGTTATTTTGAGAAGACATAATTGCCTTGTTTATACTATTTCGGGGATGTTTTATATCCATTAGTATGCTATTTAATATTATTTTTGGGACTAACCTATTAACCTAGAGCCCAGTGCCAGTTTCTATTTTTTCCTTGTTTTTGAGTTTCGCAGAAAAGGAATACCAAACGGAGTCCAAATGGAATGAAACATTTGCGATGATTTTTCTTGGACCAGAAGACAACCAGGAGACTTGGAGATGAAGTCGGAGGAGCCACAACGCGGCCACAAGGGTGGAGGGCATTCCCAGGGGGATAGGGTGTGCCCCCTACCTTGTGGGCCCCCCATGACTCCCCTGACCTAATTCTTTTGCCTATATATTCCCAAATATCCCCAAACCACCAGGGGCATCCACGAAAACACTTTTCAGCCGCCGAAACCTTCTGTACCCGTGAGATCCCATCTAGGGACCTTTTCCAGCACCCTGCCGGAGGGGGATTCAATCACGGAGGGCTTCTACATCAACCCTATTGCCCTTCCGATGAAGCATGAGTAGTTTACCATAGACCTATGGGTCCATAGCTAGTATCTAGATGTCTTATCTCTCTTTGATTCTCAATACCATGTTCTCCTCGATGTTCTTGGAGATCTATTCGATGTAATACTTTTTGCCGTGTGCTTGCCGAGATCCGATGAATTGTGGATTTATGATCAGCTTATCTATGAATATTAATTGAATCTTCTCTAAATTATTTTATACATGATTTGATATCTTTTTAATTCTCTTCGAACTATCGGTTTGGTTTGGCCAACTAGATTGGTTTTTCCTGCAATGGGAGAAGTGCTTAGCTTTGGTTTCAATCTCGCGGTGTCCTTTCCCAGTGATAGTAGGGGAAGCAAGGCACATATTGTATTGTTGCCATCGAGGATAAAAAGATGGTTTTTCATCATATTGCTTGAGTTAATTCCTCTACATCATGTCATCTTACTTAATGCGTTACTCTGTTCTTCATGAACTTAATACTCTAGATGCAGGCAAGAGTTGGTCGATGCATGGAGTAATAGTAGTAGATGCAAAATCGTTCTGGTCTACTTGACATGGACGTGATGCCTATATTCATGATCATTGCCTTAGATATCGTCATAACTTTGCACTTTTCTATCAATTGCTCGGCAGTAATTTGCTCACCCACCGTATTATTTGCTATCTTGAGAGAAGCCTCAAGTGAAACCGATGGCCCCGGGTCTATTTCCCATCATATAAGTTTCCGATCTACAATCTTAGTTTCCATTCTACTATTGTAATCTTTTACTTTCCGATCTATAAATAAAAAATACCAAAATATTTACTTTACCGTTTATCTATATCTATTATATCTCACTTTTGCAAGTAACCGTGAAGGGATTGACAACCCCTTTATCGCATTGGGTGCAAGTTGTTTGATTGTTTATGCAGGTATTCAGTGATTTGTGCGTTTTCTCCTACTGGATTGCTATCTTCGTTCTCAAAACCGAGGGAGATACTTATCTCTACTTTCCTGCATCACCCTTTCCTCTACAAGGGAAAAACCAACGCAAGCTCAAGAAGTAGCATACATCCTGTGGAGTCTAGGCCTACGCCCCTGAGGTCTAGTAGACACTAAGACACAGGAAATGGGCCTAGGTCGCTCGATTTAGCTGGGACGGGACTCCAACTAGCCAGATTCATGGCCGATGAGATCAAGTAAGTAGAAAGCGTCACCACTATTATTGATGTTTAGCTTTGATTAGAATTCATGAACTTCTGATGTAGCATATGGTGTTTCAACATGCTTCAAATGTTTATGGTGTTTGTCGTGCACAAACGACCGATTTGTTGCAATAGGTTATGGACTCATGCTGGGAAGGTCCGAAGCATTTCTTCATTATTGTTTCTGCATGGTCTTTCATGTCGTGATAGTTATGATCCATTTTAAAATGTAAACATTGTTTCTCCATGATCATTTGTTGCAATAGGTTATGTAAGCATGTCGTACAGTAAATGGAAATGTGTTGCATTCATGCATATATTTTGTTATTGTCATGTATCTATACCAATATAAAAAGACCCAAAGGTGCAGATCCAACTGATCTCGGCCATCCAACAAAGTCAATCCAACGACCTAGACTGCTCCAATGGAGAGCGTTCAACGTGCAATTAATATCATACCAAATATTGCACTAATCACAGAATTAAAACAAAAATAATAGCATACCAAATATCCGCGTGCAATTAATATATTGCCTAAATATTAACGTGCATTGCATGTGTGCATTTACTAGTTCCTCACAAAATGGCGAGATGAGGCGACCATAAATCTTTGTAATCTGGTAAAGATTTAAATCCGTCCATCGCCAATACATGCATATCTTCCCAGAAAGCACCACATACATGTCACACAAAGACCTAAGTACGTTATCGAACACTTATCTGTCCTAACTTATCTTTCATGCTTTGCCAATCCATTTGTAAACATACATGCTACAATGAATGGAAATTTGTTGCATGCATGCCTAAATTTTATTGTTGTGTGGTAGTATAGAAAATATTCTGACATTCTCCTCACAATTTTTTCACCAAAATGTGAAGGAAAATGCAACAATGTAGAAAATATATAACACATATTGCATGCGGGGTTTTAACCGGATGTCTCGTGATTGCGACTTGAGTAAAATCTAATGGTTAAGGAAGCGCCATTTGTTTAAGATTCAGTCGGCTGACCGCTACCATATCCTGAATTAAATGGAAAGATGATGGCATACATGAATATATAATCTCAAATGCAAAGATTTAGATTTGTCCTCCATCAATGCATGCATATCACCCCGAAAGCAGTAGTGGCGAACGTAGATCTTGTCCACAGAGGATGCCAACCTTCTCACTTGCAACAAAAATACCAAGTATAATCATAAAACATGCCAATTTGTCATTCAACTATTATAATACACATAGTATTAGACAAAAAATAAAAGGTATCTTTTTTGGCATTTTTGGAGGGGTGTACATATGTTTCACACGAAGACTAAGTACGTTGACGAAGACTTATCCGCCATAACAAACACACCACATATCCCTCATGAATGCCCTAGATCACGCCAACACAGAACCCAATGACACCCCGACCGTCAGATCATCCATCGACATGATGATGACTTGATCACCAAGTGAGACACAGGCGCGCACACACGACCTCTTGGTCGCATACGTGCGCCCCACCCTGCTGCCCTGGCATCGTGTAACCACTAGAGGAGAGCACAGTGCCACACCCTGCAATCCGCTACCATCGCTTCCCCAGTGGCACTATATATGGCAACCCCAAACCACACCTCCATCTCAATTGCTCGCGCACCCCCACACCCACAACTCTCCTACTTGTCCACCTCCGTCTTGCTCTGGTCAACCCTGCGTCGGGGCTGATCTCCGCCAGCCATGACGCCCGACGACGTTTCCAAAAATTCGCCCGTGCCGCCGCCGTCCCTGCCGCCAATCGACTCGTGGGCTCGGGGAGGGCGTCGCTCCAGGCGCTGTCGCGGCAGCGGCAGCATCAGATCTGTCGACAGCGCCGATTCCGAGGAGGAGTACCTAGCACTCTCTCTCCTCATGTTGGCACGCGGCAAGGTCGAGGACGGCGGCGTCGGAGGCGTCAAGGGCATGGGAATGGCGCCAACCAAGGCGCAGGGGTACGGGTGCTCCGTGTGCGGCAAGATCTATGCGTCCTACCAAGCACTGGGCGGCCACAAGAAGAGCCATAGGAAGCCGCCCACACTGCCAGCAGCATCGGCAGGCGGCGACGAGGCGTCCGGCGGCGCCCCCGTGGTGGCCAAGATGCACCAGTGCTTGCTCTGCCGCCGCACATTCCCGTCAGGGCCAGCGCTGGGCGGGCACAAGCGCCTGCACTACGAGGGTGGCGCCGCGGCTGACGGGATCGGCAAGGACAAGGAGGCTGCCAAGGCGAAGGCGGCGTCACTACTGAGGGACTTCGACCAGAACCTGCCAGCATCGGCGGTGGCCGGGTACGAGGTCGAGAGCCCATCTCAGGGTGCGAAGAGGGTGAGGTTGATGCTACTAGCAGTTTGATCACTGATTAGTGGCGGCCGAGGTGGTGGTGAGAGATTTAGGTTTTTGATTGATGGCTTTAGGAGGAATTCCTCTCTAGGTTTCGATTCTTATTGGGTTGGTTCAATTTTTCTCGCCCCGGATTGGAATTGGGGTGTTGATATGGTAAGTTCTTAGCGCTGGCGTTGCTAGCTGGTAATGTTATACTAAATTTGCTCACTAGTCCATATTTTGACTCCAGCTATTTGATAAAGAATCTGACGGCTAGCTGGGAATGGGATAGGACTTGTTTTGTAAACCTTTGATCAAAACCATATAGAAACTTTTGAATACCTTATTGGGTAATGCTATGCATGATGAACTACAAAACCTCGAGAGGAATCAAGTGTGGACATTGGTTGAGAAGGCCAAGGATTAGCAAAACATCATCGGAACCAAATGTGTATTTCGTAACAAGCAAGATAAAGATGGAAAAGTCATATGCAACAAAGTTCGTCTTGTAGCTCAAGGTTACACAAGTCGAAGGTATGGACTATGGTGAGACCTATGCCCCGTTGCTAGACTTGAGCCCATTCGAATTTTTCTTGCTTATGCCCATCACCATGACATCACCCTCTACCAAATGGACATTAAAAGTGCTTTCTTAAATGGTTAAATTGAGTAGGAAGTTTATGTTAAACAACCTCCCGGTGTTGTTAATCCCAAGAAACCAAACCATCTCTATAAACTTCATAAAGCTCTCTATGGTCTCAAACAAGCTCCTAGAGCTTGGTGCAAATGCTTGACAAAGTTTCTTCTTACAAAAGGCTTTGAGATTGGTAAAATTGATTCAACCTTGTTTACTAAGAGAGTTAATGGTGAACTATTTGTATGACAAATATATGTTGATGATATCATATTTGGTTCTATTGACCCTCTCTTTAGTGAAAAGTTTGGAAGGTTGATGTTAGAAAAATATGAGATGTCAATGATGTATCAACTCAAATTCTTTGTTGGTTTGCAAATCAAGCAAACTAGAGATGGTACTTTTGTTTCACAAACAAAGTATACCAAGGACTTATTCAAGAATTTCAACATTAAAGAAAGCAAAGGTATGAAAACTCCCATGCCTACAACCGGACATCTTGACTTGACAAGGATGGCAAACCAGTTGATCAAAAGGTTTACTGTTCCATGATTGGTTCATTGCTATATCTATGTGCCTCCCGTCCCGAAATTATGCTAAGTGTGTGCATGTGTGCATGACATCCAGCGACACCAAAAGATGTCATCTTGAGGTCGCGAAAAGAATTGTGAGATACTTGATACATACACCAATCTTTGGCATTTGGTATCCGAAAGAATCTTCTTTCAAACTTGTTGGCTATTCTGACTCGGACTATGCCGGAGACAAGCTTGATAGAAAATCCACTTTGGATACATGTCAATTTCTTGGTAGACCTCTTGTGTCTTGGTCCTCCAAGAAACAAAATTCAGTATCTCTATCCACCGCCGAAGTGGAATACATTACAATCGAATTGTGTTGTGCTCAATTACTATGGATTACACAAACTCTCAAAGATTATGGGATACATGTGAAACATGTGTCGTCAATATGTGACAATGAGAGTGCTATTAAGATTGCGCACAATCCCATGCAACATTCTCGAACTAAGCATATTGAGGTTCGTCACCATTGCATTCGAGATCATGTTGCTAAAGGTGACATTGACCTCTAGCATGTTCATATTGTTGGGAAACATTGCATGGAAAACAGAAAAAAATTCTACGCACATGCAAGATCTATCCATGGAGATGCATTATGCATATCAACGAGAGGGGAGAGTATATCTACGTACCCTCGTAGATCGTAAGCAAAAGCGTTTAGTAATGCGGTTGATGTAGTCGAACTTCTTTGTGATCCAACTGATCGAGTACCGAACGTCCGGCACCTCTACGTTCAGCTCGGTAGCGGCCTCCGCATTCTTGATCCAGTAAGACGGCGAGGTAGTGGATGAGTTCCAGCAGCACGATGACATGGTGACTGATACGTCTCCAATGTATCTATAACTTTTGATTGTTCCATGCTATTATATTATCTGTTTTGGATGTTTTATATGCATTAATATGCTATTTTGTATTATTTTTGGGACTAACTTATTAACCCAGATCCTAGTGTCAGTTTTTGTTTTCCCTTGTCTTTGGAGTTTCCCAGAAAAGGAATATCAAACGGAGTCCAAATAGAATAAAACTTTATGATGATTTTTCTTGGACCAGAAGACACACGTAGTACTTGAGAACCAAGTCTAAAGATTCCCGAGGCAACGGCAAGGGTGCAAGGCACGCCCCATGGGGGTGCCCCTGCCTTGTGGGTCCCTCGGAGCTCCTCTAACCCTATTCTTTGGCCTATAAATTCCCAAATATTCCCAAACCCTCAGAGGCAACCACGAAAATAATTTTCGCTGCCGCAACCTTCTGTTCCCGTTAGATCCCATCTTGGGGCCTTTTCCGGTGATCTACTGGAGGGGGATTCGATCACGGAGGGCATCTACATCAACCCTATTGCCCTTCTGATGAAGCATGAGTAGTTTACCTCAAACCTACGGGTCCATAGCTAGTAGCTAGATGGCTTCTTCTCTCTTTATGTTCTTCTACCATGTTCTCCTTGATGTTCTTGGTGTTCTATCCGATGTAATATTCTTTTGTGGTGTGTTTGTCGAGATCCGATGAATTGTGGATTTATGATATGATTATCTATGAATATTATTTGAATCTCCTCTGAATTCTTATATGCATGATTTGATATCTTTGTATTTCTCTTCAAATGATCGTTTTTTTGGTTTGGCCAAATAGATTTTTATTTCTTGCAATAGGAGAGGTGCATAGTTTTGGGTTCAATCTTGCCGTGTCCTCACCCAGTGACATAGCCGTGTGTTTGTCGAGATCCAATGAATTGTGGGTTTATGATCAAGTTTATCTATGAATAATATTTGAATCTTCTTTGAATTCTTTTATGTATGATTGAGTTATCTTTGCAAGTCTCTTCGAATTATCAGTTTGGTTAGGCCTACTAGATTGATCTTTCTTGCCATGGGAGAAGTGCTTAGCTTTGGGTTCAATCTTGCGGTGTCCTTACCCAGCGGCAGAAAGGGTTGCAAGGCACGTATTGTATTGTTGCCATCAAGGATAAAAAGATGGGGTTTTCATCACATTGCCTGAGTTTATCCCTCTACATCATGTCATCTTACTTAATGTGTTACTCTGTTCTCTTGAACCTAATACTCTAGATGCAGGCAGGAGTCGGTCGATGTGTGTAGTAATAGTAGTATGCAGAATTGTTTCGGTCTACTTGACACGGACGTGATGCCTATATGCATAATCATTGCCTTGGATATCATCATAACTTTGTGGTTTTCTATCAATTGCTTGACAGTAATTTGTTCACCCACCATATTATTTGCCTTCAAGAGAGAAGCCTCTAGTGATCATATCTATGGCCCCTGGGACTATTTTCCATCATATATTTTCATATCTATAAACCAAAAAACCCAAAAATACCTTGCTGGAATTTATTTACTTTTATTTAGTTCTATGTTTTAGTAATCTTATATATCTATCTCTATCAAATCTCACCATTGCAATTGACCGTGAAGGGATTGACAACCCCTTTATCGTGTTGGGTACAAGTGTTTGATTGCTTGTGCAGCTGCATAGATTGGAGACTTGCTTGTACCTCCTAATGGATTGATACCATGGTTCTCTAACTGAGGGAAATACTTATCTCTACTTTGCTGCATCACCCTTTCCTCTTCAAGGGAAAAACCAACGCAAGCTCAAGAAGTAGCAGTGACGGTGATGGTGAACGTATCTCCACAGGGCTTCGCTTAAGCACAACAAAAATATGACTGGGGTGTAAATGGTGGAGGGGGGCGCCACACACGGCTAAGACAATGTTGTGTTGTGCTAGGAGCCCCCTACCACATATATATATATATAGGTGGGAGGGAGAGAGGAGACGCCAAGGGGCACCCCAAGTAGGTCTGAATCCTACTTGGGCTCCTACCCTTGGTCGCGCCCCCTGCCATATTTGTCAAAGGGGGGAAGGAAAGGGGGCGAGGGAAGGAAGGGGGAGGCCGATTCCCCCCTTTCCTTTCTTCCACTTGGTAGGCTACCATGGGGGTGCGCCAGCCCCTTGTGGGCTGGTGTGCTCCCTTCTAATGGCCCAATAGGCCCACTAACCTCCTGGGGGTGTTCGGTACCTAAGGGAGTCCTGGACTAGGGGGTGTCCGGATAGCCGGACTATCATCATCGGCCGGACTCCAAGACTATAAAGATACAAGATTGAAGACTTCGTCCCGTGTCCGGATGGGACTTTCCTTGGCGTGGAAGGCAAGCTTGGCGATACGGATATGTAGATCTCCTACCATTGTAACCGACTCTGTGTAACCCTAGCCCTCTCCGGTGTCTATATAAACCGGAGGGTTTTAGTCCATAGGACACACAACCATTACAACAATCATACCATAGGCTAGCTTCTAGGGTTTAGCCTCCTTGATCTCGTGGTAGATCCACTCTTGTACTAAACATATCATCAATATCAATCAAGCAGGAGTAGGGTTTTACCTCCATCGAGAGGGCCCGAACCTAGGTAAAAACATCGTGTCCCTTGTCTCCTGTTACCATCTGCCTAGACGCACAGTTCGGGACCCCCTACCCGAGATCCGCTGGTTTTGACACCGACATTGGTGCTTTCATTGAGAGTTCCTCTATGTCGCCACCGATAGGCTTGATGGCTTCTTCAATCAACAACAACACAGTCCAGGGTGAGAATTTTCTCCCCGGACAGATCTTCGTGTTCGGCGGCTTTGCACTGCAGGCCAATTCACTTGGCCATCTGGAGCAGATCGAAAGCTACGCCCCTGGCCATCAGGTCAGATTTGGAAGCCTAAACTTCACGGCTGACATCCGCGGAGATTTGATCTTTGATGGATTCGAGCCACAGCCGAGCGTGCCGCACTGTCACGATGGGCATGATTTAGCTC